ATGGATGGATGGATGGATGGATGGATGGATGGATGGATGGATGGATGGATGGATGGATGGATAGATGGATGGATGGATGGATGGATGGATGGATGGATGGATGGATGGAGAGAGAGAGGGAGAGAGAGAGAGGAAGATGGATGGATGGATGCATAGACAGAGAGAGAGAAAGAGAGGCTAAAATATTTTAAATAAATCTAAATAAGTAATAATAGTCAGGCTTTCGATCTAGAGTAGGAGAACTTCTCTTCCCTTTGAGAAATTGTCTTTGGAAAAGCTACGCTTTGGATGGAAGGGCAGCTGAGCTCAGCTCCCATATGGCTTGGTTACTCCCTTCTGGCAGGAATATAAAAAAAACTCAAAATGAACCTTAAAGCCCAAAGCCTGGATATGTGTTTTTTTGTTTTGTTTTTTCTTTACACTGTCTCTCTCAGGCGGAACAGCCCCAGCCCAGTGGGAGGACATCACCGGCACCACAAAGCTAATCTACGCCAACGAGTGTGCAAACTTCACCACCAACGTGTCTGCCAGGTGAGCTGAAAAGATTTCATTGTGTAGCAACCCTGGTGTCACTTTGTGATTCAAACCAGAGATTGGAGAAGGGTGTGTGTGTGTGTGTTTATTTTTTTGATTTTTTAATAATGCACAGTAATGTAACTAATAAAAAAGCAGAAAATAAAAATAAAAATAACTAGCAACTAAAACATAAACTCAAATTCAAATCAAAAGTTATAATACATCCAGTGTTCCCCACTGCTCTTGGGATTTTTTCTCTCTCTTTTCCCTTTTAATTTACACACTCCGTTTCTCTCCAAAAATTGTTTTGGGGTATAAACTTTACCTGTTCCAGATGAACGTACTGTACTAAAAATGTTCCATATATCCTTAAAATAATTTGCATTCAATATTCTTTTTCTGACTTCACCCATTAATTTATCCTGGATAGCCATATCCCACCAGGTGCCACCTGAATGTCTTGGGAGGAAGGTGGCACACAACTAGTTGGGAAAGAATGCCATGCATTGCCCCCACCTTGCTGGAAAAGTCTCCCGGGCTGGGGGTTTCTCTCCTGACCTTTCACCCTGCCCAATGCTCTTTCCTCCTGTCCAGATTCTGGCTGGCAGATTGCCCACGCACGGCCGAAGCGGTCCATTTTGCCACCCTCTTGTACAAAGAGCTGGCCGCCGTGCCCTACATGGCCAAATTCGTGGTGTTTGCCAAAATGAACGACGGGCGGGAAGGCCGCCTGCGCTGCTACTGCATGACGGACGACAAGGTGGACAAGACGCTGGAGCAGCACGAAAACTTCACTGAAGTGGCACGAAGTCGGGACATTGAGGTAGCCCCCTTGGCACTCGATGCCAGCAAGCCTCGGCTTCACACACCTTGCTCAGCCCAATTCCCAGCTAACCCCCCCCTTCCACCTGGGGGCAATGGTTCCCACCTCAGCCCCCCCCCACTGTGGCTGCTAAAACTTCTTAGACCTCTTCTTCGAAGAAACCTCAAGACATCTTAACGTTAAGCATTTCAGGAAGGCAAAAGGATGGCATTGGCATTCCAACATGTATGCGTTCCTTTTGACCCACTCTTGTCTTTGGCTACAACAGGTTGTGCAGGTTTTTTTGGGGGGGGGGTACTCACAAACCTACCAAATCTGTTTAGAATCTACCATTGGAGGAGCTTAATTATCACGGACAATGACACCTCTGTGCTGCAGAAGGAAGTGGCATGTTCTAGCCAAGGGGGATAACACCAGATCAAAGAAATCACCTTAAAAATAATAGGACCTTAATGCAAACTTAAGGTGGATATTTTTCTCTCTCTCTCTCCCACCTGCCACCTAAGTTTGCATCGGTCTTCTCTAATATTCTGCCCGGTAGCTCCCTGGTTCTGGAATGCTGAGCTGGTTTTCCCTCTGAGAACACCTAGTTTGTTAATTTCTGCCCAACCCATGTTTCCGTCTGGACACCTGAACAACTCTGGGGGGGGGGCAGGAACTTTCCCACGAAAGAATAAATCCAGGGTAATGAACTTTCCTGTTAGTCTGCTGGATCCTAATTTGGGGTGTGTACAGAATTTGATCGCTTGCTATGAAAAAAAAAATGGGCAGAGCTCCAACCCAGAAATGAGGGAGCGCATGCGTGGAGCATCACCTCTTCAGGAGAATCAGGCAAGCATTTCTTTAAGAGCTTATGCTCCATTTCTGCAGGTGGTGGAAGGAATGCCACTCCATACGGAGCTGTCTGGGAATCTGGTGCCAATCAAGAAGGCTGCCCAGCAACGCAGCTTCCTCTTCCAGTCGTTCTGTGAGAACCGCCTGATAATTCCCGTCAAGGTGAGAGGCAGGGAGAGCCGTGTGATGTTTCGGAATCAGAACCACGGGAGCGCGCTTTTTGATTTCCTCTCAAAGTAATGGAAAATGCCGGCAAAGTTTCCTAAGCTTAGGTCATCCCATCCGGCAACCCTTCAGAGCCGGGACAGAAAAACTGAACAGCTCCTTTGCTCTTCGGCGCTTCCCTGAGCTGTGTAGGGCTTCCTGTAGCCTTAAAGATGATTTGAACAAGTCCAGGTCTTCAGCAAACTGGAGTGGGTGGGTGATAATGTCTTTAGAGAAGCAGTTTGAAAACTCAGCAGAAAAGTGAGGAACTTTCTGATCATAGCAAACTTGAAAAAGCAAAGCTGAAAGCTCAGTGAAGTGATTATTTAATAATATTTAATAATAACCTTTGAACGGCAGAGCTGGAAGGGACCCTATGGGTTGTTGAGTCCAGCCCCACTCAAAAGAGGCCCACTGGGGAATTGAACTCCCAACTTCTGGCCTTGCAGCCAGAGACCTAAGCCACTGAGCTATCCAACATCTATTGAAAAAAACTCTACTCCCCTTCTCAGTTCCTCTCTATCTCCTCCGTGTTTTGGGCTGCAGGTGAGGGACAGCAGCCGAGAAGCGAGCGGTTCTCTGTCCTTCCTACGGAAGCCCATGAAGTATGAGGAGCTGCAGCATGTCCTTTGCCATTTGAACATCACCATGCCGCCCTGCTCCAAGGTATGTGGGCGGCCCACCTCGGCCCATCCCAGATCCTTCCCCATCAACTCTATTATATTATACCCATCCGTCTTGTCGAAAATGTGCAACTCTGACAGAAGGTCAGTATTTTTTATTTTATTTTGACAAGGCAGTGCCAGTTCTATGATAAGAAAAGTGGGGCATTCTATGGCGTGGAGAAATCTCCATCATTATTTGCACATGTGGTATAATTTATTCTGTTTCTACGATCCAGGGCTTAGCCACTCTGCAAGACACAGAAACCCAACTCCTGCCAAGTGTTTATTTAGGCGTCCACCCTAAAATTCCTAAATCTGCGTGTGTTTAGTCGTTTAGTCGTGTCCGACTCTTTGTGACCCCATGGACCAGAGCACGCCAGGCCTTCCTATCTTCCACTGCCTCCCGGAGTTGGGTCAATCTGCATTGGCCATAAAATTTCGAAATCTAAGTATGTAAGTCAAGTCAATATTTTCCTGTGAGAGCGGTTCTTAAGTCAAAATGTTCTTAACTCAAGCCGTTCTTAAGTCAAGACCCCACTGTATTTTATTTTGACAAGGCAGTGCCAGTTCTATGATAAGGAAAGTGGGGCATTCTATGGCATGGAGAAATCTCCATCATTATTTGCACATGTGGTATAATTTATTCTGTTTCTACGATCCAGGGCTTAGCCACTCTGCAAGACACAGAAACCCAACTCCTGCCAAGTGTTTATTTAGGCGTCCACCCTAAAATTCCTAAATCTGCGTGTGTTTAGTCGTTTAGTCGTGTCCGACTCTTTGTGACCCCATGGACCAGAGCACGCCAGGCCTTCCTATCTTCCACTGCCTCCCGGAGTTGGGTCAATCTGCATTGGCCATAAAATTTCGACTTCAAAGGGGCTAGGATGAAATGAATAAATGAAAAGTAAATAAAAATTAAAATCAAATGGGTTTGAACCATCCTCACTGGGTTGTTGACTCTTAGTGGTGGATCGGAGAAAAGAGTGGAGGAAACTGGAAGAGGCGTTGACTTTTTAGTGGTGGATCGGATGGCCATGGAGGAGAAAAGAGTGGAGGAAACTGGAAGAGGCCATGACTAGCTGGCTAGCGGGCTGGCTGGCTGGCTAGCCAAAACCCAGGTCAAGGATTCTGCATAGTGTAACACTTTAAGCTTATCTTGGTGGATCACAAGTTCCCTTCCCCTTCCTGCTATTCATAGAAATTCTTGGCTGCCCCCCAAAAGGTGGTTTTTTAAAAAACAGGCTGGAAAGCCAGGGAGTTTGTCACTGCTGTTACCATTCTAAGCCTTGCACTGTCCGGATGGCAGGAAATGACCAGTATTATCAGCGCACAATTGGGTACCTGTGAGGGAACAAACGTTTTGTCTGGATGAGCCCTCTGTTGCACGTCCCGCTTGCACAAATGGTTTGGAACAGGGGCGTGAGTAATTTGGGATTTTAGCATCACAGAGTCATATATGAAATGGTCCTAAAATCGCCGGTAGTGAACCCCACCCCTCTCCTTTGGCCTCCAGAGTTCTGGCACTGAAGAGCGAAGGAGAACGTTGACCCCCCTGGCCCTGCGGGAGAGATACAGCCTTCTCAGTGACAGTACCCTAGGTAAGTGGGCTACGAACCAGCCTTGTGAGCAGGTGAGGCTCAACCGCAGGTGAGGCTCAACACATGGCTCAAATGCTTGCCACATCATCCCCCTGAGCTTCACCCCCTGTCCCTTCCAGGCTCCGTCAGCAGCACCGAGAAGGACAAGACGGACATGAAGATGGCCGTCATCGCGGAGCACCTCGGCCTCAGTTGGGCTGGTGAGTTGCACGATGTAGAAATGGGAAGAGTTGCTCTCTGGACTACTCTTCCCCCACCCCACCCAAGAATCCCCTGTCAAATGTGGGGCACAGCACAGAAAGGAAGGCTTGCTTTGAACGGCCTGTCTTTTGAATGGCGGAATCTTCTGCGGTACGGGGTTTGAAAGAGAATTTTTAGTTTGCTGGGGAACAAGACATAAGGTGGTGCACAAGATTTCAGGCTGGCTTTTGGGATATATAGCATCAGCCTCTGTGATTTCATAGGTGGTGGCGCTCCGGGTTAAACCGCAGAAGCCTCTGTGCTGCAAGGTCAGACGTCCAGCCGTAGTAAAAGCAAATCCATGCGACGGAGTGAGCTCCCGTCGCTTCTCCCAGCTCCTGCCCACCTAACCGTTCGAAAGCATGTAAAAATGATAGTAGATAAATAGGTACCACCTCGGTGGGAAGGTCACGGTGTTCTGTGTCTAGTTGTGCTGGCCACATGACCACGGAAACTGTCTACGGACAAACGCTGGCTCTACGGCTTGGAGACGGGGATGAGCACCACGCCGTAGACTCGGACACGACTGGACTAGATGTTAAGGGGAATCTTTACCTTTACCTATGAAGTCTCTCAATTAGCCAGAGGTGTCGTAAATACCCAGACTCAAGTGAACAGGGAAATCCCATTCTTCTGTGGTTTTGCAACCACATCCGGTTCCGACCCTCATCCTGGGGTCGCTCAGGGTTTGGCTTCAGGCTACTTGAGGGTTAAGAGGCCCAAGAGGCTTCCCCTTTGCCCCCAGTTCCTGGGTTTGCTACTTCCTGGGTTGGCTTCAGGCTACTTGAGGGTTAAGAGGTGAGAACCAAAGTCAGCTGTGCCTATAGGAAAGCCATGCGCGTCTCTGGTTTCACCCATCCCTGATGCTGGTTCCGTCTTGTGTCTACTTTCTCCCCAACACAACACCAGAGCTTGCCCGGGAACTTCAGTTCGGAGTGGATGACATAAACAGGATCCGTGTGGAGAACCCCAACTCCCTGCTGGAGCAGAGCATGGCGCTGTTGAACCTGTGGACCAGTCGTGGTGGCCAGAGTGCCAATAGTGCGTAGTTAAAACATGGAACTTGGGATGTGTGACCCTCCCGTCTTGCTTTACCAGAAATATGGCTTAGATATTTCTCTCCCCACCATGGACTTTTCCTTGCCCTTAATGACCGTATGAGACCCAGGGCTTTTCTTGAGCTACACCCAGGAAACCATGAAGGGGAGCCCCTCCACACCTTCTTTTGGCACCCCCTTTACCTAGGACACATCAGACTCGTGCACTGTGCACCTGTATGGCTGGCCATCCCAGGTGTCCCCTGCTAAGGTACATGATGTGCCTTTCTTCTTTTTTGTTGAAGCTTTAGCTGATGTTTGTGGATTTCAATGGCTTCCCTGTGTAGTCTAACATGAGCTGTTCTTTGCTTTTTTCTTCTTTAGGAGAAAAAAAATCCATTTTTTGCATATGACATCATATGTAAATTTATGGGAATCCTAGTTAACTAATCAGTTGGATGAAATCTGTTAGTTAACCAACCAGTTCATTAAGTCGAGTGTTTACATAAATAATCTTGCAATGAAACGGCAGTCCAGTTTTTACAAAGGGCTGCATAAAAAAAGGTAACTAGGTAATGCACTTATTGGCATTTTCATTAGGGTTATTCTCAAAACAGAATAAAAATAAAGTCCACTTCCTCAGACATGAAAGCTCATATCCAAGTACAGCAGTTAATCTTTAAGGTGCCAAGATGTTTTTGTCTTCTTTACTTTTATTTTTATTTTGTCTGCTAGCACAGACTAACACGGCTACCTCTTCTAAAGCTGCCAACACTTCTTTTGGCCAACTGTGTAAGACTAAATCTTTAACCAGCAATTTGGAAGTGATTAATTCCAGGACATTGGTGGTGATTAGGATCTGTCTGGGTGACCAAGTTTGAGATGATTAGATTAGAATATAAACGGGCACAGGAAAACCTGTTGTCTTTGTTTGTGCCTAGAGAGAGAAGATGGTTCAGCTTGCCTAGGGGCCTCCCTTTGGAATTGATCCCTCAATTGTCTTTGTCCAAGAAACGTGGCCCATATTTACACAGGAAATCCCCTTCAGAGGACCAAGCAGGTGCCCAAGGGAGGAATGCTATTTAAACTACAACTCCCATAATCTCTTCCTGCTAGCTGAGGAATTCTGGGATCTGTAGTCTTAAAAGGCAGCTGTTTCCAAGCTAATACAAATGCAGGAACAGGTGATACCTTTATTGGACCACTAAAAACAAAACAAAACAATGATTAAACAGCAAGCTTTCTATGATCATTCATCTTCCTCAGGCTGTACACCCCATTCTTGTGGGTAGCTCCAAACTTATAGGTTTTTATTAAATCCCCAAAGTCTCATTGGGGGCCAAATGCTGCTGCTTAGATGGAAATAGATGTAGCCTGCTGTCTTCAAGACGCCTGTGGAGGGAGGGGGTGACTTCGGTCCCCTCGTCAACCAGTGGTTTGGAATTTATCACCCGTCTCTCTAAGCAAAAGGCGGCCTAATGTTCTGATCCCCTTTCTCTCCCCCCCCCCTTCTGCCTTCTTTTGAAACTCAAAGAGTTTCTGTTTGGCTAGGGAAAACAAGATAACCAGAAGCATGGCAGGCCTCCATCAGAACTGGGATTAGAATTTTAGTTAAACCACCAGGAACAGTTGATTTCCCCCAAATCAAAGCCAAATCGATCATTTTACCTGGGGGACGCTTTTCTCGGCATGCAGTGCTGCTTGCCTGGTGTCAGGAGTCCGGCCATTCAATGGGATCTTGTAAAGTTCAGTAAAAATCAGGAACGGGCCGCAGGTGGTCCCCGAAACAAAGCACGCGCAGGGACCTTGTTTGGTTGGCCAGGTGGTCCTTCACCGACCCAGCTTCCAGTACGGAGCCCTGCTTAGCATCACTAATGGGCTTCTCTTCTCCCTTCTTCTTTGGCAGTGGAGAACCTCTACGCGGCTCTGCGAAACATCGACCGGAGCGAGATCATCAACATGCTGGAAGGCTCGGCGCGGCACAGCCGGAGCCTGAAGGGTGACAAGCGCTACCCTCACAGAGACTACTCCCTCTCGCCTTCCCAGATGAATGGTGAGTCCTCCTGCCCCAGCGGCCAGTGCAATGGCGCCAGGCAACTCCTGCGGTCCCTGGAGTGGTGTGCGCGCGTGCAGGCTAGAGCTGCATGGAGACCTTTTAAGTGGGATGACCTTTTCCTCTCCTTCCTCTGGATCTTTGCTGCCCCTTTGGCTTGTTTTGTGGCCCCTGAGATCAGCTCAGCAACTGGCTTCTCCCTGCTAACTTTTCCTCTCGGCAGCAGCTCCCTGTGTTGTTTCCCCCACCCCCACCCTGCTGACTAGCTGAAATCAAAGGAATTTGCAAAAAAGAAGAGACGGGGTCCTTTGTTGGACACAGTGAGAAAAGTGGGTTGTCTGCGTTGCAAGGAAAAATGCCAGACCCTGTAGTTAACAATAACATTGCAGCTTTCTTGAGTGAATAAGAACTGCTGGATTGCTCCGTGGTCTGGACATCTGGCTGTCAAGTTTGGGGGTTCGAGCCCCTCCTGTGGCTCTTTGAGAGGGGCTGGACTTGATGATCCACAGAGTCACTTCCAGCTCGGCTGTTCTGAGATTAGAACTGTTGGACGGCTCAGTGGTTTAGGCAGCTGGCTTTGGAGCCCGAGGTTGAGGGTTCGATTCTCCAGTGTGCCTCCCTGAGAGGGGCTGGACTTGATGACCCATAGGGTCCCTTCCAGCTCTGCAGTCCCAAAATGAGGAGAAGGATTAGAATATGAACATGGCACTCCAAGGGATTTGAGCTGCGCACGTCTGCCTCCAGAGGATGTCTGGAAGCCACACTGGGCTTAGGAACGCAGCTTTGGGTGCACGTTTTCTCCTCCCATGTCCATGCTGTCCTGTGGAAGCACAGCGCTGGTGGGACTTCAGGTGCTGAGATGAATAGGGACCCCTGGGCACGGACTCACCACAACAGACGACAGCAGGCGCTAGGCGGTGTTGGTAGTGGTGGGGAGAAGCAGCAGGCTGGGATATGAGATCTGGCTGTCAGTTTCAAGCAGGAGGTATTGAACATGGATCATCACGATGCGTTTCAGAGAGTGCGGAGTCAGGCTGCAGGAGGTGGTGATGCAGCTGAGGGCAGTGCAGCCAAGATCTTCAATGCTCACTTGGTTTTTCCCCCCCTTTTCCTTCCTTTCTGTTCCCAGTACGATCTACATTCTTCCACCTGCTGTACAGCTGGAGGGGACCCCAGTTCCCCCTGAGATGGCTGACTAGTAGGTCGTCACCATTCTCAGCGGGCCGCACCCTGACCTCTCTCTCCTCCTCCTCCTCCTCCCTTTCCCTCCTCTTTCTAACTTCGCCGCCTGTCTCCACTGGCTCTGTCTGTCTTCCTCTCTGAGCCTTCTCAGCGCTTGTGTTTGCTGGCAAATGCATGATGGATTCAGCCTTATGACCTGCCACGCCTCTCCTTGTGGCTGTGGCCGAACGTCAGCCAGCATGTGGCTCTCCACTGCTTTCCCCTCTCCTGGCTTCTCTCCTTGCCCCACAACGGCTTGCAGGCTGGAAGGGCTGCCCCCGACCTGCCCGTTTCCCAGTCACAACTGAATAGCTTGGCGCCTCCCCTGGCAAAGTCCAGCTTTGGCCAAGCAACACTGCCAAAGGCTGCATGGAGCAAGACGAGGCAGAGTCACCTGTACCTGGGAGAGGGTAGCTCTCCCACCCTGGGAGTAAACCTCATGCCCTCCCTCTTGCCGTTTATTTGTAGGGTACCCTCAAGCAAGGGGATATGTGAAGATGCTCAGCCATCCAGGTGAGGTTCTCTGGAAGTTGAGTCCTGGCAACTGGACTTATTTCTTACTAGGTTTAAACATTCTGCTCCCCATCTAAGCAGCTTCTTCAGTCTGAGGAGAGTTGGTAGGAGACCCCCAACATCTCCCCCACCTTGGCTTCACTTCCCCCTGGTCTGAATAGATGGACAAAGGACTGGGGCGATGAGTGAATCTCCACCCACTGCTATTGGTCCTCAACAGCCATTAACAGTGGTCCTCATCTTTCTGGGGAGGGATGAAAGGTCAGCAAGATCAATAGGAGACAGACTGCGTCTAAGGCCACAAATCCCGTAGAGTGAGGCATTTTCTGGATGAGGTCAGCAAGATCAATAGGAGACAGACTGCATCTAAGGCCACCAATCCCGTAGAGTGAGGCATTTTCTGGATGTACATATATGGGCTCCCTGACCCCTCTTTCGAACCACCTCTCTTCTGGGTTTCAAAATGAGTACATCTGGATCATCAATGGAGTGTCCTTTGTCCTTCAAATGAAGGAACACTGTTGATTGTGGTCCTGAACCGTAGATCAATAGGAGACAGACTGCATCTAAGGCCACCAATCCCGTAGAGTGAGGCATTTTCTGGATGTACATATATGGGCTCCCTGACCCCTCTTTCGAACCACCTCTCTTCTGGGTTTCAAAATGAGTACATCTGGATCATCAATGGAGTGTCCTTTGTCCTTCAAATGAAGGAACACTGTTGATTGTGGTCCTGAACCGTTGTCGCTTCTGTGCTGAGCCATTCTCCTGAAACCAATGTGGAGGAGATATCAAGGATCGCCTATCAGCTCTCCTTAGACTGAAGAAGCAACTTGGATGAGTAGCAAAACATTTCAACCTAATAAGAAAGAAGTCCATTGACCACGACTCAACTTCCAGATCAAGGAAGGGTGTTTTGCAGATTCCGATAAATAACTAGGTTTCTGGCCCGAGAAGATTACAGTCTAATGTTGATGGAGTTCGGAGGGCAGATAAGAAAACGGAATGGGAGAGACAAATGTAGAAAGAATGAGTTTTCAACAAAGGCAGCTGTGTAAGCGTGATCACAGCTTATGTCTTACAGGCAGTGGTTTTAATAACAGGAAATCTTGCATTAAACTTTTAGGGCAAGGGTGGGACTCCTGCAGTGTATGATCCATGTGCAGCCCCCCCAAGTCTACTTGGTGTCCCTCAAATCACCCACAAAAGCTTTTTTTGGAGATGAAGCTGCTCTGTACATACAGTCTAACTGTCCGACATAAAAACGAATCCATAGTCCTCTACGTTACTTAGGCCCTTAAGTTGTTTTTCTCAGAACCCTGATGTGTGAGGTTAATTGGGGTGGATCAGCACTGAGAGAAATTCCCTCTACTTATGCTCAGAATGTGTGAGTTTTTCTATTAGGATTTCATAAATAAAGTAATAATCCTATGCCATCAAGTCAATTCTGACTTATGGTGAACCTTTCTAGGGTTTTCCAGGGAAATACACAGAAGTGCTTTACCTTTACCTTCCTCTAGGGGGAGCCCTGGGACTTTGTGCAGCTGGCCCAAGGCTACCCAGGCTGGCTCTTCTGCCTGGAAGCACAAGTGGGGAATCGAACTCTCAACCTCAGACACCAGGGAGATTGCCAGCCAGCTAAAATTTCATAAACCTCTGCCCAAAATAATAATAATAATAATAATAATAATAA